CCCCAAATCTCAAAATTGACCAGTGCATTTAGCTTGTAAAGTCTCACCTTAAAGTTTTGCAGACAAAGATTAGTGTAAACCCTTTTGTGCAACTGAGTGCACTGGCATTCCTGCCCCAGCAGCTGTTTGTCCAAAACTTTGTTGCAAAACATCATCTTATTGGTGCCCAAAGGAGAATCATTGGAAGATTACTTTGATATATTTTCTAAACACATTCATGCTCATAAGAAGATTTTGATATTTTGGACACTTCATGAGTGTTCCTCTACCACCACCCTCAGGACAAAATGTCACCTTTGCACACAAGATATCAAATAATATAACATATTTGTACATCAGGCAGAGAAATCTTTTTGAATTTAACCACAATTCTAGAGCTCATTTTGCACCACACTCATCTTTACCTCCATTGTTTTACTCCAAAAATAGAATATTCACCACTATGTTGTTGAATTTGTTAGTGGTGCTATCCATCTTTCAAGTATCAGTACTGAAACAAAACCCCAGCATGCCAAATTAGTAGTAGATAGTCTCTCAATACCATTAAAATCTAATATTCTACCAACAATACATTTTCTTTTTGGCAGTGGTGAAATACATATAAATATCCATTATTATTATTATTATTATTATTATTATTATTATTATTATTTTTATTACTTTAATGTGTTTTTCCATGATAAAACTATGCACTCAAAATTACAAGCAGCCCTGTGGTAAAATTTTAACCAAGGAGTTCATTGGGTATGATCATTTAATGGTGTGTAATGGATGTTTCCAATGGATAGTCTAAATAATCTCTTCATTTTATTTCGCACTTCAGCTAGCTGGTAATAAACAAGGAGCAGTTGCAATAATGGTGGGAAACATTTATTGGGGATCAACCTTTGGAGAAAAAAAAAGTGAGCCACCAAAACATTCAGAATTGAGGAGGATGAGTTGACTGTTTAGGATCTTCAGGCATACATGATATACATAGTACTATATAGTAATCAACTTAAAAGTAAAATGTGGAAGAAGGACTTAAAGAAGTTTTCACAAACTAGATTATTAACTCCCTATATTTTGGTATCAACCTCTATTCACTGTTTTAACTGGTACAGAATGCTGCTCCTATGCACATGTTAAAAAAGGGAACATATTACCTGTCAAGTATTAAACCCCATCAAAGCTCTTCTGTTTGAATATAAACCTCTGCGTGGTCTTTTATATTTATATGTGGCCCATAAAGTTCAGCTAAGCCCCCTCAGATCCACACATCAAGGGCTAATAACCACAACCAAAAACTTTTTGTGGAGACTCTGGGATAGAAAACTAATAAAGTACTTACGTGTTGAGATTTTTCTTAACATTTGTTGCAAAGCACACATAGTGCTCTAATACTCCACATTTAGAAAACAGTAAAAGAGACTTCAAAATACAATTTTTATTTTTGACCCACAGTATCTTTTAATGAACGAAAATCCGCATATATCCATGATGCGTTTGATGGAGCTGATTCTCGTCATGCTCATTCCCATCTCTCTGAGGTTCC